TCATCTAGTAGAAAAGAGGGTCAATTCAATTTTTTTTCCTTCTTGGTTCCATAATTGTAAAGCGGATATATACTAATAAGGATCTCCGAAACTGTTCTAATGGAAAGGTCGAAAAAATCTTTTTTTAAGAATATTTCTTACTCGATTTTTCTATTCTGATAGATCTAGATAAAAACAATTGATTATATCATTAATCAGTCAAAACCATTTATATAGGTTTTAGATACATTCAAAAAATTCTATAGATTCTGAAAAAAAAACTCGGTTTTATTCATTCACATGTAGTGGTAAACGTGAGCATGTGCATGCCAGACAATAATTTCGAGTAAAAAGTTGGATAAAGATCTTTGAGTAAAATGATGTATTGTTTATACCATGGAGAGAATGATGACTATCAACAATTAATCATAAGAAACTGATGAGTTGATTATTTATTTGTTTAACAGACTGTTCTTCTAGTTGAAACTATGATGAAATTCTTTTAAAATTGCTAAAAAAAGAAATATTCTCTTTCTCTCTCTCTGCTTTTTTTAAAAGTATAGACAGAAGGTAAAGAGTATTATTACAATAGAATAGAAGTACTCAATATTCAGTTCTGTTTTCAATTGTACTAAAAACGTGAGCACGTGATCATGCCGTTTTTTTCGTCGTTCTTACGTTTTATATATTTTTTTACTCAAAAAAATCGATAGTTAAAACATATAAATAAAAAGAAGAAGCGCGAACACAGTTGTTACTATTTTCAATTCATTCTTCTAAACGTCAATACAGAAACAATTAATTAAACGAATATTGTAAGTAAATGAATAAGATGCCGAGAGAAGAGTTTATTATAATATATATCTAGATAATGGATGCTATCAAAGCTGGTGTTGAAAAAGCGCTAGAAGCTACTGAACAAAAAAAAGCTGGTGATAAACAACAAAAAGCTAATGATCCAAACGTTAAACCAAGTGAACGAATGGATGCAGAATTTGAAGCAAACAAAGCAGCTGCCAAAGCTGCTGAACATCATGCCAAAGCTGAAGAACACAAAAACAAACATACTCATAACTAAATCATTTATATAGAAATCAATGACTTATTTTCTTTTTTTTTTTTTTTTTTTTGTTGTTAAATGTTTTATGTAAATCCAGCTGTTATGTATAAAGAACATATACATTTATTATACAGAAAATATTAAGTCGCAAGAAGTTCTTTATGTAAAGAATGTAAATTTGAATGATTATGAATATAATTCAAATATGATTTAATTGATATTTTAATCGAGGAATACTCTCGAGATAGGTATGCTTATGAAATAGCAGATTATCAGTCGTCGTCCGATTTAAAAATATCTCTTGGAAAGAAAAACTAATAATTGATGAATAATTATTATTCGAGAATTTTTATACCATATTAAAATAAACAGATAGATATTATTATTATTATATAAACGAATATATTTTAATCTAAATATAAAATAACTTTTGTTTATTTGTCATCTTATCAGAGATTTTTTATTCAATTACAATTTCATACAAATTTAATTTAAATCTTTCATTTCGACAAATAAGAATATTTGTCTCTTTGATGAAGGTTCGACTTTTTAAAAAAAGTTCTGTATAAGTTGTTTGTCATGATTATGAATGCATGACAATCTATACTATATAATTACGTTCTTTTTTTTCTTCAGTAAAATATTCGATAACGTTAAATATTTAAACTAAATCTCATATTACATATACTGTAACGAGAGAAACTTCAAATTACTATTGAAACAAAACTTCTATATTCATTCAAAACAAAAAACCTAATCAAATGTGTCTCAATTATTCATGTTTTCATCTACAGTAAAACCTCTCTATATAAGCACATTCGTTATTTTGAATAGTAACCACTTATTTCGAGTCTCACCAATAATAACAACCTCTGGAATGTGCGCAACATATGTTCTATCACTATTCTGTAAAACGAGAAAAACAATTGTGTCATGTCTTTTGCATTATAATAAACGATCATGCGGTACATAAAAAAAAAAGGTGATGGGCTAATCGCAGATTAGAAAAAAGCCAATATTAGACAAGAGTAACAGTGGTTGATGTAACATCTCGTCGTTTTTCGTTGTGTTAATAGTTAGTAACAACAAATCATGTTGATACGTGTTAATTTACTTCTGATTAGAAAAGTTTAATTAAATTTTTATCATATAGATTCTTTACATAAGCCGAGTTTATAATATGATCAGTGGAATTAGAAAGTGTTCATTGATATCCTGAATTATAATAATGAAAAAAAAAAAAAGACAGTCAAATTTTCTATAAAATTCTCTTGATAATAGAAGAAAATAGTGCGAGGAAGTATTTTATCATCGGCTACATTTCAAGAATTCGGAAATAATAGTTTATCAAGATTTATTTGTGAAGTCTAGTATAATTAATTTGATCGAATGGTATTATATTTATATAGAAAAATTCGAATTCATTTTTCAAATCGAACATCTTTTGTGAATTTATAACTGTAGATCATCATCATTTCAAATGAATTATTTATATACATTTTATTTAAATTCATCATTCAACAACATAAAGAAAACTTGAGATAACTAATCCAATCTGTTATACTTATTTCGAATACAATCGCAGATTGCCGCTGTCTCGGCTTCAAAGTGTAAAACTCAGGAAATTCATAAAAAATTTTCATAAAAAATAACAGAAAAGTCGTTCATTAAGAATAGGCCGTGGAGAGTTTGATGACAACTTACTTTTTTTTTGAAAAGTATGTTTTCTATCAAATAAACTTGTTTGCAAAAATATTTTGATAGAATCCTGAAAACTAGTTGTGAGATTCTTGATCTTCCAGAAACCTTTGATCCAAACCTACTAAGAGGAAATTGATAAGAACCTCTCTTGAGAGAAAATTGTTTCAACTACTGAAATTTTTTCTCTAATTTATTCTATCTGATACCGTTAAGAAAAAAAGTGAAAAATATTTCATTTATTAACGTTTTGTCTCCATATCTTAGTTCGATTAATTATTTCTAGGTTGGTATTATCTGTCATTGGTTATATTATTTCCTATTCAATATATTGATAATTGATCGATGACAAACAAGAATGAACAAGATCTATTCATCAATATTCATTTCTAATGTAAATCTCTAATATCAGTCGTATTTAACTTATTGTCTCCTTTTACTCGAATATTCTATTTCGTTTTTATTTCTACTCTTAATGTTTAATTGTTTACATCTTTCTCTTTAAACTTAGAGAAAGATATTAGCAACTATAATCCAACGAATATTAATGAATATTTAACAGCATTTACATTTCAAATAATGATCAAAAAATATTTTTCTCATGTTTACAGACTTTATTTTAACTTAAATAAAATAGATCGTTAAATTTAAGTTTGGTTTTTGACTTTAAATAACTTGACTTATTTTTAAATTAACGTAGATTTCATTCTGAATCAATCTTTTTGTCTGACAAAATTCAACCCTTCCACTTGGGCGTAGTGTCGGACGTAGAGTCCATCAGATAGAGGAATTTCTGGATCCGAACCCGACGGATTAAAACTTTTTGGATTCGGACCCGGTCATTTTGATTGTCGTCCAGAAGATATGATATATTTTTCATTTTTTTTCTGTTAGATAATTAGTATACGTAGGAGTCTCAATTCATATTTACTTTCAGCTTAATTCATGCGTAATTATCGGTAATTTATATTTAAAATACATATAATCTATCATAATTTATGTTTACACTAAGTTAGCAGAAAAATGATACCTCTAACCATATTTTACCTATTCTTTAAACGATCAGATAGGGATTCCATAATAATTAAGTTCGAATTAGTTGTTACTCCTATTCAATATTTGTTGATAGAAGAATGAACGTATGTATTACCAAGGCTTTATATTATTTCTTCTATCGATCAACTATTGCATTATCAATACTACTTTGTTTTTGTACTTAAATCTGATATATGATAAAGTAATACACTAATCATTTCTTCTGAAGAAGAGGAAACTTGCCGATTTAATAAAAACTTATGACAATTCAATCATATTTTATAAGCTGAAAATATCTGATATATTTTTTTTTTATAATAAATTAAAATTTTTTCAATAAAATGAACAAAAATTTAAAGAAATTTTGTAAAATATCATTATATGCATTAAACGTTTTTATTTCGATTCGGATTTGATGAGTAAAAATTTTCAGACCTGGACTCGATAGACTCTAGTCGGATGGACTCTGGTAAAGCGTTTAAGGACTTGTTATCCGACGCGTGTTTCATAATGATTCCGAAAACAACAATGGAAGAACTCATTTCAGGCAATATCAATTCGTTTCATCATTGACATCCAAGGATCTCAAATAAATTCAAGCTTATAATAGAGTATTCACCTTCGATTGACGACCTGAACAACAGACAACGCTTCGAAACCTCGCCAGAAAACAATGATAATATCCACCTACAACTTAATCGTTCTCAAACAATTTCGATGATTAGTCTTCTCAACGATTTATTTCTTCTCACAATTAGCATGACTACATACATAGATATTGATTTAAGAGATAACCTGATACTATGAGTCATGATCAGTAATAAAAGAACATCTGTCAATTAAAGATTCATTTTGACACGAAATCAATTAAGATAGTATGATATATATTCTATTTTTTCAATAAAAACAAAAATTGTCAACTTAAAGACAAATAAAACAATAAAATCTATGTGAATAGACATAATTATATAATTGAATATTTGTTTTTAATTTAAAAAGAATTTTCTTTCTTATTAGTCTTATTCTCAAATAATATCGATTAATTCACTAATACTTAATTATTCAATTGGTAGAGCACTTATTTAAATATTGTATTAAAAACAAAAAAACAATCATTTTACATTTCATATGTAAAAAAATGTTCCGCTTTTTCTTTTTCATCAATCTTATTATTGTTCATGTATCTTGTCAAACAACTGAAGAATCTTTGCAATTTGACACTGATTTTATGACAACTCAATCATGGATACAAGAAACTACTGAACAAGATTTTCATTTCGATACAACTAATTATGGTGAAACTCAATCATGGAATGAAATAACTACACCAGAATTTAATCAGTCAAATACTAATATTGATATAACACAAACATGCCAAGATTTTACTACTAAAGAACCATCTCAACAGGAGAATTTTACGACAACAGAGGAAATAACTAGTACAATGACTGCTACTACTACTGCTAGTGTTACATGCCCACCGAGTATTACTCGTGAAATTGTTGAAGAAACTAAAAAAGAAATAATTGATAGAATTCTTGCTATTATATCAAATGAAATAACCAATAAATTAGAAGCAATTAAAGAAAATCTTCTGACATTAACTTGTTCGAATAATAAAAATTCTAAACCTATAGAATTATCTTGGCAAATCTATGAAAATCTTCAAATTCCATTAATTGGATGATTACGTGTTTTTGATCAAGCCTATAGTCATCAAACACGTATTGAACATCTTAATCAAACAGCTGGTTTATGTCATAATCATGTACTTGTTGCTGCTACATTCAATGGATCAATTTCTTTAGCAGCTGCTGGTCCAGCAAGTGTTTTAACTTTAAACACAATATGGAATCAACCTCAATTATTTGGACAAGTTTATTGGTATCGTACAAATGGAAAATCTTTCGGATTTTCTCCACTTCCTACTATTCGACAAACTTCAGCTGATAATGAAGATTTAAATAGTCCTTTACGTCTTAGTTGGCTATTGGATCAAAATATTGGTGGCTATAGAGCAGGTGCTATACGTTCACTGCCTGATAATTCTATATGGCATAAAGTTATTTATTGCAATTAACATTTATTCATTCAATATTATTTTTATCTTAACGATTATATTACTAAGAAATAAAATATAACATTATGCATTATTTGTTTCTATTACTTTAACAAAAAATAGAGTTCCACTGGATTTGTTAACCTATTTTCAACCAGGATATTGTATATGTGGTTTTCCAGAGCAAGTTGTGGCGCATTGAATGGTACATTAGAAATCAAGTTTTATGAAAATTTTCATATTATGAGGCTTCATATACTAGTAGAGACTCATTGACGAATATATTGTGGCTCCTAAAATGAACTTATGCAAATTTTGTTTTTAACATTTTGAGTCCCAAATTATTTCTGCTGGATTCAATTCAATTAGACTGTTAGATTAACTTTTTAGATACAATCACATGACATAAACAGTCATATTCGAGCTTTATATTCATAAAGACATGCCTAGAGAGACTCTTTGTTAAGTATTACCAGTGATCTCAACAAAAATTTTACTTTTTCACAGATAGGAAAAAACCAATAGACTATAACAAAACGACAGTTTATCAAGAACAATAAAGTAAATGTTCAAATTGTTTGCCTTCTGTGTTAATGCACATTTAACAATGATAGATTGCTTGGCATAATTCAATATTATCATTGAGCGATGTAAATTCTTGTTCAATTAATCACTTAAGATGATTTACTATATCGAGAGGATTTTGAGCATAGACATCATCTTTTATAATTCCCTAAAGTGAGAAATCACATGGAGTTAAATCTGGAGATCGTGGTGACCATTCAACGGTTCTTCAACGACCAATCCAATGTAAGAATGTATCATCTAAATAATGGGAATCAGAACGATGAACATAGACACTTAAACATGGAGTTGATAAGCACACGGAAAGTTCAGTACAAAAACGTTGAGTACCGAAAAGTAAAGCACGAAAAGGTTATGGGTGTGGGTGTCGACAAAATCTATAACATAACTCAGTTCTCACACCTACATCCACACTCTTTTCGCGCTTAACTTTTCAATGCTCAAAGTTCTCGTGCTGAAGTTTCCTCATGCCTATCGATCCCGTGTTTACGTATCCGTGCTCATCGGCCACCAAACTCTAAATAATCTTACATAATTTGACCATAGTGAGGTGGTGCACCATCTTGCTGTTAGATCATTGTTATAGGAGAGCAGAAGAGGAAAAATATGAAGAGAAAATATCTATGAATATACAACGCGTGTTATTAGCAAGTTTCTTTGATTGATTAGATTTTTTCTTGATAAACTATCCATTCATTATAGTCTATTGTTTTTTCCTATCTGTGAAGAAGTAAAATTATTTTTATTGAGATCACTAGTGATATTTAACAAAGGGTCTCTCTAGGCATGTCTTTATCGGTACGAAGCTTGAACATACGTACCTCTATCATTGATAAAAAAAATCAGCTCGTTTGATCGAGCCGTAATAGAGATATTCAAATTTTTTTTGTAATGTGACTTTTGGGTCACCCTGTATTTTGTAAAAAACTTGTTGAAGATGTGGGTTGATTTGATATTTTTGGTGAAAGTTATAGTTGTGTATTCTTTGACTTCTTTTGGAGGAAAAGTTATGTTTTGAATAAAGCTTTGGCTCCGATTCTATTTAAGTTCTTCTTTGTTTACATTTTCAATAACGTCTTCTTTTTCATCTATTTCAAGATCACTTTCATTTTCGTTGTGAGAATCGATTTTGTTATCAAAAGATGAACCGCTCGTATTATTTTCTTGATTAGAATACATTTATTTCTGTTGCTGAGACGAATTGTATTTTAGAAGGAAACTAGGATAGAAATCGGTGCCTCGCTCCGGTTACATGCTAATTATTATAGATGCGAATTGACCAGAAATGCTGCCTTATATACCTTTTTTAAAGAAAATTTTGAGAAAACTCCAGAACTTTCTCAATGAACGAATAGGGTGTGGATGTGGGTATGGGTGTGGAGTGCAGGTGTGGATGTGAACATGGATGTGCGTATCAATGAAGAGAACACCCACACCCTTCGAACGATGAAAGATCATTATACATGGTCAAATACTCATTTTTGCGGTCGTTTATGATATTCTAAGGATTGAAATTATGTGATACGATCGTATACGGAATCGCATATGGCTGCTGACGATCGTTGATGGTCATAGTGACCGATACACATCTTCCGGTAGCATATATGCCAACATTTCTGAGACTGTTAGCAATTTTCGTGTGATCAGACGGCAGGCTTTAACGATCCAGATCACATACTCGAAGTTCACATTGTAAAGCACCATCGACTATGATACATCTTCAATGTAAGCAATTTATCGATTTGAGATACTGAGCGATTGCTCAATGGCCAGCTGATGTTGACTGTACTAGAATTAACAGAGCCTGTTCTTGTTGAACGAGTGTATGGTTTCATTTGGCTTGTCTTCGTTCATCACATCGTGCATTCTAATCAATGTTCGAGCAATGCATGAGGGATGAATGTCATCCAATATGCTCTTCTGATCATTTAGTTTCTTACGACAAAAGTTCAATACTTTTTCACTCTCTCCCATTCTCTTATAAGTGTTGACAACCATATCGAGATCTATCGAACGATCGAGATGAGCTAGTGGTAAATACTGTTCGTCCATCTAAATTAGTTGATGATAGTAATTGAGCGCACAATCAAAGTCATCGTTTCTTTCGTGAATACACTCAATGTAACCAAGACATCGAGCAATATATGGATGTCGAACGGAAAGCATACGTTAAAAACATGTCCAGAGAATGAGACAGATGGAGAAGAGCAGTATCAAAATCATTTTTATCACTGTGCACTACAACAATGCTTTCAATCATTACAGCTGTATGCATATTATCATTCAAGAGCTTGATTAAAGCTTCGTTTACTTCTGTGAATACGTTCAATATTACCTAGCGAACCTGTGAGACGCAGATAATTGGGTGGTTGTCGTTTTTGATCAATCTGATATGGCAACTTGAAATTTTTCAATACTGAATTCAGATCACCTCTTCGATCATGTACATTTCCAATCTGATTAGAAACAGCTGCAATGTCTGCATGATTAGATGGAAGTTATCTGAGTAGCATCTCGAAATATTTCTCAGCTCGGTCAACTAGACCCAATTCTTTGACTAGAAGATGATCAAAACAAATAATTGTGAAATATTCATTGAGACGTTACTTGATTGATGTGACTGAATTCATTAACTTTTTTCTGTACCTTCACCAGTGGCAGTCAGTTCCACTTTCCAAGCGTTCAGTGTTGAATCAGAAGTGACGGATTCAATTTTGAAGAGCGCATTCAGAGTAGAAGGAACTTCTTCTTCGACTTCCATTCTAGTCTTATTCTCAATGCCAGTAAAAGTCACTGTTGTCAATGAAGAGTCTGTTTGAATTTCGAACAGAGCTGATTGAAAAACAGCTATGGGAAGACTTTGTCCAGTGAATGCAAACGAAACATTGATGTTACAAGAAGAAGACAAAAATCTGTTGATTGAAATTATTTTTCTTTCGTTTTCTTTCAGCTTTTCGACTTCACTTGAAATTTACATTCCACGAAACGTGATGAGTACTCCTCTATCTTTCAAATGATAGTTCTCTTTTTCGAGCACTGTACATAAATCGATATCCTCTATGTGAAATGCTTTGTTCAATAGTTTGTAGAGAAAGCATTCATCTGTATACCATTCGATGGTCTTGCCATTAGTATAACTTACTCGAAACTCTTCAATCTTCTTCAGTTCTCTTTTATTATTTCGTTAGTAGTGGCGACATATATCGAGTATTTCGTCTTTTGATCCTTGATTTTGTGACATTTGTTTGAAAACATAGATCAACATTTGATGCAGGATAAACAATGCTGATTCTTTGGATAAATTCCGTTCCAGTCTTTGCTTTTGATCAAATAAAAAAAATACTAATGTTTGTTTTTCGACAAGATTCATTGTCTTGCGTATCGATTCTAATAAATGATCTTGATTAGTGAAGGTGCCAATAACTTTTTTATGTTCGTTCATTGATACATCGAAAAGAATAGGCAGTGCAAAACAATGACCAAAACTCGTTTATCTTTGGTTGATTTGACAATATTCATACAGAGATCAAAATCTGAATAGAACTGAGTGGCTAGAGTCAAATCGATTAGCATCGGCTAAATATGAAGACAATGAGATGAATCGTCGAGATTTTCATCAAGCCAAATCAACCGAATATTTTCTTTGTTCTCAGCAACTTCATTTGGACGAAGATTTTACTGTCTTTCCTTCAACGGAATAGCAGTAGCCGCTATTGTAGCAATAATTTATTGTTCTATAAAAACAGGATAGCAAAGCTCTTAAATAGTGACTTTATAGTAAACAAGAAAATTACAAATGGTGGGTCTTTCGAAAGTGAACAATTAGATGAATAATCTTTGAGTAACCGATCGGTTTCTTTTCACACGCTGACCTGGACGTTTCTATGCGAATATTTTAAATATTAAACACGCTATCATCAGGGTGAATGTATAGGCAAGAATGAGAATCATATATTCAAGTTGAAGCGGTTGTCGAGGTTGGACTAGCTGCTTAGAATTCGATTTTTGAGTAAGAAAAAATTTAGGTTTTTCTGTTTTATTATTTAGAAGCAGTATGAATAGTTTCATTAATGTGTAAAGACATTGCTATCTTGGTGGAAGGCGAGTTAGTTCGGCAGCGATCGTGCATAAAGATATATGTCATCATTTGCAATACTATTCTGATGAACATAAGAATACTATAATCATGAAGATTTTGTATAACAACTGTTGCAATGAGACAATACAAGTGTTTTTTCGGTCTATTGATCTCTTTTCTTCATTATTTGTAAGAAGACAGCAGTGTTTCTGATTCTTGATTATGTGGGATATTTTTCAAGAAGAACTCAAAAAATAAAACTGATATCTATCCAGCTATTTTATTTCTTTCCATACATTTAGTGAGGGTACATAGTTGATGAAAACAATTATAATCACATGTGAAATAAGACAGATGG